GGTGGGGGGGGGGGGGGGGCGTTACGATGTCAGAGTGATCACTTAAAAATGGGGTTTGACCAAAAGCAGCACAGAGCTTATGAAATACTTAAATATGAACCCGAAGAAAGTCAGTGATAGTATGTAAATTTTTTTTTAGGGGTTGTGACGGGGAAAGCTAGAAAACTAAAATTCTCAGGCCAGAAGTATTTGTGTGTGTGTGTGTTTTTAAAAGCAGGCCGTTTTATTCGACATAATAAACTATAAATCATATGATATAAATGTTTCCATCGTTAAAGGTGCTTTGTAGTCCTAGGAATCCGGAAACAAATAGCTGGTTAAATTTTCGTATTTTTTTTCGTTCACGGCAAATGAGATAATTAGTGATATGTTAAATGGCCGTTGCACTGTTGTACATATTTTAAATACAAAAGTGTGGAGACGATTCGGCCAAAATATTATGTAAGTGTTCGATGTGCAAGATACAAAGATTACAACAAAAATGGCTCATGCCGAAAAGCATCAGAGAGTCTTTGAAATATTTTCAGAAAGAGTTGACAAGTCGATGAATACTCAGAGATTGTAAGACTATTTCCTGAGGTGTAGGATGGATTGGGGTGGGTGGAATAAGTGATGCCGGTAATTGAATTCTTGGGTAAAAAGTATATGCTGGTAGTTTTAGCGTTATAAAGTGGGCCGTGACAATTAGATGTAATAGATTATAAAATTCATGTTTTAAACGGAGCGGAGCGAGTGATGGAGCAAAAAAAAAAGGAGGGGTGGGGGAATTGATATTGAATGGACAGGTCAGAAGCGGGCAGATCCAATGGAACGTATCACGTAGCAGAATGTACTGGCCAATAAGGGTATTGCTAATATGCGATAAGTTTTATTGAAAGTGTTTTTTAAAAAAAAAGGGTGGGATACGGCCAAAGTATTATGTGAGCATTATGATTTGCAGGATGTACAACGTAAAAAAGGCCCAGGACAAAAATAAAACTATCAAATATTTGGAAATAATGAAAAGCAGAAGAGCAGTCAAGTGTAAATAAGATAATTTGTTCAAGCAGAGGGGAGGGGGGAAGATACTCGAATTTACAGGGCCGGTCCGAGTGATAAGTAAGAAAAAAAATCAACAATATATAGCCTAGGAGGCGTGGGGGTTGAGCGGTCAAGCGCTTGTCTTCCGAACCAGGGGTCCGGAGTTCGAATCCTGGTGAAGACTGGGATTTTTTTATTTCGGCATCTTCGGGCGCCTCTGATGGGTACCTGACATTAGTTTTTTTTCACCAGTAAAAGCCACTCTATTATATTATGGTGCCTGCATGTCACGTTTAGAGCTCATTTATTATTATACGCATTGTATTTCAAATATCTACAACAGTGCAACATTTGTACAAATGCTCCTTCTTCATTAGTGCTATTACAGAATAGAATGGGTTGCCTGAGCCAGCCAGGAAAACCAGTGACTTGGCAGAATTTAAGTCATTGGTTAACATGCATGACTAGATGCAAGAGCGTAGGATGTAATCACCTTCTTTTTTGAAGTAACGTCTGTATTATATAAGATAAGAAGAGACGACCACTTAAGGTTTCTCGAAAACGTGAATTTATTACTGTTGCTATTGTGAGCATTGTGTATGCGTATCTTATCTTATCTTCTTATCTTATATAATACATACGTTAGTTCAAAAAAGAAGATGATTACATCCTAACATACTTATAAACCAGTTTTGAATCACGATTAAAAAATTAAGTGTAATTTAATAGCTGTGGGAGAGCTATGTAGGTAAAATGTACAAAAATATGTCGATTTTTTTCTACAGCGGTCTGTTAATAATGACTGTTAATGACCTCATAACTGATCAATGCATGGTCAATATTGTGAAAGTGACGTGCAAGTGGGAGGGTTTAGTGCGCTAGAATGAAACGTTTACTTTGGATGTATTGTAATCGCCTTATAGGAGTCTTCAAATGTAAATGTCGACATAATAATGCTGTGGCTCTATACAAGCCATAGCATAGCAGTCAGTTGTTTAATTTTTCGTGGATTGCATTAAATCTTATCCACCACTTGATAGAGTCTTGACTGTGTTGTTCTCATAGTGTCTTGATAGAGTCTTGACTGTGTTGTTCTCATAGTGTTGTACTTGAGAGAGTCTTGACTGTGTTGTTCTCATAGTGTTGTACTTGATAGAGTCTTGACTGTGTTGCTCTCATAGTGTCTTGATAGAGTCTTGACTGTGTTGTTCTCATAGTGTTGTACTTGATAGAGTCTTGACTGTGTTGTTCTCATAGTGTTGTACTTGATAGAGTCTTGACTGTGTTGTTCTCATAGTGTTGTACTTGAGAGAGTCTTGACTGTGTTGTTCTCATAGTGTCTTGATAGAGTCTTGACTGTGTTGTTCTCATAGTGTTGTACTTGAGAGAGTCTTGACTGTGTTGTTCTCATAGTGTTGTACTTGATAGAGTCTTGACTGTGTTGTTCTCATAGTGTTGTACTTGAGAGAGTCTTGACTGTGTTGTTCTCATAGTGTTGTACTTGAGAGAGTCTTGACTGTGTTGTTCTCATAGTGTTGTACATGATAGAGTCTTGACTGTGTTGTTCTCATAGTGTTGTACTTGAGAGAGTCTTGACTGTGTTGTTCTCATAGTGTTGTACTTGATAGAGTCTTGACTGTGTTGCTCTCATAGTGTCTTGATAGAGTCTTGACTGTGTTGTTCTCATAGTGTTGTACTTGATAGAGTCTTGACTGTGTTGTTCTCATAGTGTTGTACTTGATAAAGTCTTGACTGTGTTGTTCTCATAGTGTTGTACTTGAGAGAGTCTTGACTGTGTTGTTCTCATAGTGTCTTGATAGAGTCTTGACTGTGTTGTTCTCATAGTGTTGTACTTGAGAGAGTCTTGACTGTGTTGTTCTCATAGTGTTGTACTTGATAGAGTCTTGACTGTGTTGTTCTCATAGTGTTGTACTTGAGAGAGTCTTGACTGTGTTGTTCTCATAGTGTTGTACTTGAGAGAGTCTTGACTGTGTTGTTCTCATAGTGTTGTACATGATAGAGTCTTGACTGTGTTGTTCTCATAGTGTTGTACTTGAGAGAGTCTTGACTGTGTTGTTCTCATAGTGTTGTACTTGATAGAGTCTTGACTGTGTTGCTCTCATAGTGTCTTGATAGAGTCTTGACTGTGTTGTTCTCATAGTGTTGTACTTGATAGAGTCTTGACTGTGTTGTTCTCATAGTGTTGTACTTGATAGAGTCTTGACTGTGTTGTTCTCATAGTGTTGTACTTGAGAGAGTCTTGACTGTGTTGTTCTCATAGTGTTGTACTTGAGAGAGTCTTGACTGTGTTGTTCTCATAGTGTTGTACTTGATAGAGTCTTGACTGTGTTGTTCTCATAGTGTTGTACTTGAGAGAGTCTTGACTGTGTTGTTCTCATAGTGTTGTACTTGAGAGAGTCTTGACTGTGTTGTTCTCATAGTGTTGTACATGATAGAGTCTTGACTGTGTTGTTCTCATAGTGTTGTACTTGAGAGAGTCTTGACTGTGTTGTTCTCATAGTGTTGTACTTGATAGAGTCTTGACTGTGTTGTTCTCATAGTGTTGTACTTGAGAGAGTCTTGACTGTGTTGTTCTCATAGTGTTGTACTTGATAGAGTCTTTACTGTGTTGTTCTCATATTTGATAGAGTCTTGACTGTGTTGTTCTCATAGTGTCTTGATAGAGTCTTGACTGTGTTGTTCTCATAGTGTCTTGATAGAGTCTTGACTGTGTTGTTCTCATAGTTGATAGAGTCTTGACTGTGTTGTTCTCATAGTGTCTTGATAGAGTCTAGAATTGTGCTTTCATGTAGTCTAGATTTGTAGCTGGTCCAGTCTGAACATGTTAGAATTGTGCTTTTATGTAGTCTAGATTTGTAGCTGGTCCAGTCTGAACATGTTAGAATTGTGCTTTCATGTAGTCTAGATTTGTAGCTGGTCCAGTCTGAACATGTTAGAATTGTGCTTTCATGTAGTCTAGATTTGTAGCTGGTCCAGTCTGAACATGTTAGAATTGTGCTTTCATGTAGTCTAGATTTGTTGCTGGTCCAGTCTGAACATGTTAGAATTGTGCTTTCATGTAGTCTAGATTTGTAGCTGGTCCAGTCTGAACATGTTAGAATTGTGCTTTCATGTAGTCTAGATTTGTTGCTGGTCCAGTCTGAACATGTTAGAATTGTGCTTTCATGTAGTCTAGATTTGTAGCTGGTCCATTCTGAACATTTTAGAATTCTTTTAATTATTAATTAGACTCATGATACTAAGTTAACCTTAACGAGGCCATTTCCAAAGTTTCTCCTGAATAGTCTACGTCTCAAGAAGACATCTGTTGTCTGGTAAGAGAGTCCGCTAGACTGATTTCCAAAGTTTCTCCTGTTATGGCACAATTAGGAATTAATTATTTGTTTCGGAAATAGGAGAAGTTTTGACATAGTGACAATCACGTGATTAGTAAAAACAAGAACGGATTTTAGGGATAGAAAGAACCGACGTAAACAGACACTTCCAGGACAACGTAGAAATAGAGATACATTTTATGAATGTCTAGAGTTGGCTGACATGCGATGGTTCCCTTCATTCCTATTAAACTTTTTCGACATTCAGTAGCAGCGTCGACTAACTTCTATTGCTTGTTCGGCCCTTCGCCGGTGCTATTGGATTCTACATTACGTTGAGTGTTACCTCCATTTGGTTTATTTCCATTAAACACCTCGGAAGCGCCTAACACTCCTGAGAGTCTCAGACACACAACTGTTGTCTGGTAAGAGTCTTGCTAGATAGATTGCCAAAAAAGTTTCTCCTGAAAGTCTCAGATACACATCTGTTGTCTGGTAAGCATCTTGCTAGACAGATTTCCAAAGTTTTTATCCACACAAAGTAAATCTGTAATCTAGTTTCTAATCTAATTAAAAAGTTGTGACTTGTTCTAAACAAAAAATAGAATAACAAATCTGACATGCATACAAAACAGCAGACACAGCCTTTAAAAAAAGCATTTTAATTTTGCACAAGTCAAAACTTGTCCAGCTGTTTGGAAACTACAGTAATGAGAAATATGTTTTAAAACATAACCCTTTTTTTGTTTTATTCATTATAAAGAAATCAACAAAAAAAAAATGACCATGTTTGTTAATGACTTCTTATTAAGTGCATTGCCTAAGGAGAACCAAAATTTTTTTTAAAATATGGTTGTAAAATTGTAGTAAAATAAAATACAAAAACTTTGTACAAAATAAATCTTGAAAAACAAAAATATATATAAATGCAAATCAATGATTGGACTTCATCAAATTAATACTTCTATTACTCCATTGAGCATAGGTTAGACCTTTTTTTTAAAAAAATATTGCACTCAATAAAAAAAAAAAGACTTGAAAAACTTGAGTCAATAGCCAAAGTGACTGTGGCCTACAATAAAACTGATGTTTGTCAAGTGTTTGGACTACAGCAGACAGAGAAAAAGAGAAGAGCATGTTCACATCACATTGCAGAGAGGAAACCTTTTCAACAGACGACTAAACATACAATAATCTTTTCATTGATGAATTTTTAAATCCAGATCAACTAACAAAATCACAGTTATCTGTCATATAAAAACTGTCATCAATCTACCATCAGGAAACAGAAACATAACCTTATTTGAACACCCTGGCAAGTGAAGACATGAGACACATGGTGATGTATAGTCTACTATTTCATTCTACACTTGGGGTGTAGTTAAGTGTTTCTGATCACAATTAGCTATTTAAAAACATTGGAGAGCATAAAAACATTTTTTTTCATTACAAGATAGCATTGCAATCATTGGACTACAACTCAAAGTAGGCCTATGCTGTTGCTAGACAAACAATAGACTAGAGCTCAGTAGACTTATGTTGTTGCTAGACAAACACTGGACGAGACCTCACAGTAGGCTTATGTTGTTGCTAGACAAACACTGGACTAGAGCTCAGTAGGCCTATGTTGTTGCTAGACAAACACTGGACTAGAGCTCAGTAGGCCTATGTTGTTGCTAGACAAGCACTGGACGAGACCTCACAGTAGGCCTATGTTGTTGCTAGACAAGCACTGGACTAGAACTCACAGTAAGCCTATGTTGTTGCTAGACAAGCACTGGACTAGAACTCACAGTAAGCCTATGTTGTTGCTAGACAAGCACTGGACTAGAGCTCAGTAGGCCTATGTTGTTGCTGGACGAGACCTCAAAGTAGGCCTATGTTGTTGCTAGACAAGCACTGGACTAGATCTAACAAGATAAAAGGGAAAGAGCAGACTATCTTTTTTTTTAAGCTCAAGTCTTTTACAAATAAAGTTGGATATATGTGAAGAACATTTTACACTTTACAATGTGAAATCATTATTTTTTCATGTATAAAATGTATAGGTATATATTATAAAAACAAGGAAAAAAATGACTACAAAAGAAAATATTAGAGTCCATCAATCACAGCCAAATGAAAAAGTATGAAGTCATACACATAAAACAATAATACATTGACGATCAGGTAATATTTAAGTTTGATACAGGAAGTTGAAGCACCGTTTAAAAACAAACTATATCAAATAATATATATATAAATATATATATACAGTTGGTACAAAAGTACAAATGAAATAAAGACCTTAAATCTAAACATATTAATATGGCATGACAAAATACTAAATGCTCTAATTCATACTGTGAAATGCCAAATTATTAAATATCGTAGAATTTAGATCTAATATGGCATAAATATTTACTTAATGTTGAAGGTACTTGATAGGACTCTTAACCATGTCAAAAGACACAGAGGAATGGAGAGAGACATGTGGTGCCCCAATAAACCAGCAGGCTAAGGGACTGGTGAAGGTGTGAACATGGATATTACATGATCAAATATTGAATGTATTGACACTGTACATGACATTATATACAAACCCGACAAAAAGACTTGAACTTAGCATACATTACAACTGTATTTAATGTTGGGTTTTTCTTGGCCCCCAATTATAAAAATAAACAAAATACAATAAACAAGCATTTTTAATCACTATAAATGAATTCAAGCTGTTTAACAATATTGTGCTAATAACTCTAGAGACTTTATATTTTAGAAGATCACCTGCACTACTAAAAGTAAATTTCTTAGAGTGTGACTTGCCTTCTTAACAGTTTTGTTTGAAAGTACTTTTAAACGTACAAGTCTGCTAATTACATTGGACATAGATACTATTTCTTCCAGCAATATGAATGTTTTTAAATAAGATGCTGAGCTCAAAAATATGGAATCCCATAAAAACAAAGTATCAAATGTATCACAGGTAAAAATATCAACTAAATCAAAGGTGAAGCTCTCCTGGCAATTCATAAAAGGATTTCACGGACAAAAATGTTAAGTACACAAGTACACATGTCTTCCAGCAGATTCCAATAAAAATAATTTTATGTATGTAGTGACTCTATATACAATGAGATTAATATATGTATAAATGATATACATTTAACGCAATTAGTTTTTTAAGCATCAATGAATGATTCCTTGTGAATTGCTATACATGTAAATAAAGCAAGAGGAACTTGGTTGACCCTCCACCTAGGAAAGGAAAACTATGTTAGCTGTTGTCAATAAGGACAATAACAGACTATGAAATATATGTTCAAACTTGGACCAATTAAGAATTGCACAACTGGTGATTCATGAGAATCAAAATAATTTCTTCCTTCTATTATTCATTGAGACAATGCATAGAAATCATGATGACCATAGTTACAAGATGAGAAGGTCAGAATTCATCTCAAACCTGATACTTTGCTGAAAGTAGATCCTGGGGACTAAAGGGCATCACACAATTGTGTAGGTAATGCTGAGTCTGCACAGGGTGATAAAGAAACAAACAAGGCTCTAGGCACTGACTCTAGAATGCTGTATGAGATCATCTGTTATACAGGTGTGCAAATCCCAAAATTGTTTTGTGACCACCTCCATAGTAAAACAAACTTCTATTGGAACTAAAAGTTGTTAATCTTTTCCATAGTAAAACAAACTTCTATTGGAACTAAAAGTTGTTAATCTTTTCCATAGTAAAACAAACTTCTATTGGAACTAAAAGTTGTTAATCTTTTCCATAGTAAAACAAACTTCTATTGGAACTAAAAGTTGTTAATCTTTTCCATAGTAAAACAAACTTCTATTGGAACTAAAAGTTGTTAATCTTTTCCATAGTAAAACAAACTTCTATTGGAACTAAAAGTTGTTAATCTTTTCCATAGTAAAACAAACTTCTATTGGATCTAAAAGTTGTTAATCTTTTTAGAAACATGGGAAAAACATTGAAAAAAAAGGGAAAAGATCAACAAAGCAGATGATTAAGATAACATAAAAAGAACTCTATGTTACACTAGAGACTTTGAAGACTGTCTAAAAGTCAAATATCAAAACACGTTTAACATGAAATTAATATCCGATGTAAAATGTACGGTTCTCCCCCTGTCCAAGAATAACTATAAAATTCTAATTAAACATTTGCCACACATGTAAAACTTCTGCATAATTTTAGCAACACTTTATGCTCATAAATGTAGGCATGGTGGCTGAGCGGTAAAGCACTTGGCTTCTGAACCAGGAGTCCCGGGTTCAAATCTTGGTGAAGACTGGGATTTTAAATTTCGGGATCTTTGGGCGCCTCTGAGTCCACCCAGCCATAATGGGTGCCTGACATTAGTTGAGGAAAGGTAAAGGCGGTTGGTCGTTGTGCTGGCCACATGAACCCTCATTAACCATAGGCCACAGAAACAGATGACCTTTATATCATCTGCCCTATAGAGCACAAGGTCTGAAAGGGAACTCTACTTTAACTATGCTCATAAATAGCCAACAAAAGTCTACCCCTTTGTCCCCTCAACCACTTAAAACCAATGTGATCTACGACAGAATAAAGTCAATGGGTAAGTTTACAACAATCTTTACTTGGAACTCATTGCTAAGGAGTAAGAAGGTCAAAAGAAAAGATATAGGAAAAGAATGTTTAGTACAATGTACATTTGTAATACTTAATGTATTGAAGTAGCATGACCAGTGAGCAACGTATACAAAAAATAATACTAAAGAGTAGAAAGATTGTTACATTAATTACCTTATGACAAAGTTGTACAATGTTGTTTTATAATATAAAATGGCATCATAAATTCTGAAAAAGTAAAGAGACATGAATTCTGTATAGCACTGGCCTTAGAGTTTGTTGAGTTCTCCCCAAGTTGTCAACAACTAACATATAGACAAGTGTCATTTGAGGATCAGCATACAGCGCCTTGGTTGACTCTATGCTGAGACTCTGTAATGGAGGGAGTCATAGCTGGGGGGTGGTGGAAGAGATGAGACAGGCTGCTCAGTTATTGGCACAGAGGTGTATCCATCACCTGTCAAAGGAGGAGGGTGAGGATAATTGTTAATAACCTGAAGAGCAGCATCAACACCAGAGGAAGTGATGGCAAAGTGTTCACTGTTGTAGTAAGGGTAGCTGGGAAGGCGTCGCAATCTGCTGCGTCGAGATGATGTTGCTTCGGTAGCTGAGGCGTCCTGACCAGTTTGGCTAGCATTCTCTTCAACATTATTTTCAGCTTCTCTCTCTTGGGATTCCATTCTACCAAATACACACTCTTCATAGGATGGTGGTACTGTAGAGAAATAAGTTATAAAGCGAAATGATTGTTACATCATTTTTTCATGATACTATTTTATAACCTTTAGTTTTTCACAGGCAGCAATTTAAAAGTTACACATTATTAAATCAATGGTTGAATGCAAGGCACAACTTCAAAATTTGTCATAAAATAGTTAATTAGGAGCCTCATTTGTTTTAGGCACTGAAGACTGTACCTATCTATTAAATATTAATAATAGTATTATACATAATTCATCTACTGTAAAGGCCAAAGAGTATCCTGAATTTGACTCTGTTAGACATGTTTCATATTATAACTAAATAAATAGTGTTTTGTTTTTGTAGTAGGAGACAATAACTAAACAATGCTAAAAGAAAGTGATTTGTACAAAGCAAAAATAGTTTGCAGGCTAGATTTTTAAAAAGCTTAACTTCATAATATGAATATTCCAATGAAACTAATTAACTTATAAACAATGCATACAGACCTGATAAAAATGTGTTCTATATCCTAAGCTAGAATGAGAAGCAACTACTTACATTCAAAATTCTGTCTGAATGGTGGGGAAGTAAGTTCATCTTCTGCATCTGGCACTTGGGAATTGGCTCTAAGAGGAATGGTGCCAATAAAAATGTTGCCTTTGAGAATAACCACTTTCCAGCCCACTGGTACTTCAAGCTGATTTGAATAATAAAAATAGGTATATGGCCAGTTTTATTTTAAATTGGCTTCTCTTTAGTCTGAAATATTAAATACTTAGTAAAAGTGCAAATATTTAAAGTCATTTCTTTAAAATTCAAAATGTAAAATTATAGATATTTACTAATTTTACTTAGCAAGATCAGCAGCACTTTTCAAAGTTCTCTGACACAAACTACAGGGCATTCTCTGCATGTAGTTTTTTTGGTTTTTAATTTCTTCCAGATGATTATGTTACTTTTTTTTTTTTTAAATTATTTTGGTTCATCTCTTTCATACCTTTCGATAAGCATGAACCAGGTACCGGTATTATATACAGTAGGTCATATTTTATATGACTTTGTTCTGATTGTTATTGAATTAAAATTAATTTCTTCTGATTCACTTTTGATGAAACAGTCAAGTGATAATCTATTATCTATACATTTTATTGTCAGGAGTTAACAGCTGTAAAATAAACATTCTTTACTGATAAAGCTTTGCTGCAATTTTTTTTATAACAGAAACTTCTATAAAGATGATTTCTCACACATAACAGCTGCAAAATTTGAC